ATACTATGTTACTTTTTTTGATCAATATACAAAGTATGTTTGGATTTTTCCAATGTATAATAAATCAGATGTGTATGCAATTTTTGTGAGTTTTTACAACTGGATTTCTACACAGTTTGGTGTTGCTATTAAATGTATACAATCTGACAGTGGGGGTGAGTACACAAGTCAGCAAAGGGTGTTGAACAAATGATTTCTTGTCCATACACTCCACAACAGAATGGAGTAGTTGAAAGAAAACATAGGCATATAGTGGAAACTGCCATTACTCTTCTTGCTCAAGTTGCATTACCACTTGATTTTTGGTATTATGCATGTGCACATGCTATGTTTTTGATCAATCGAATGCCTTGCAAAGTGTTGTCCATGGTGTCCCCTTATAAGAAATTGTATGGTAAAGATCCTGAGTTGCAAAATTTAAAAGTATTTGGATTAGCAGTATATCCTTGGTTAAGACCATATTCTGCACATAAGTTACTACCTAGGTCTGATCAATATGTGTTTTTGGGTTATTCTAAGGGATATAAGGGTGTAGTTTGTTATAATGTACAAAGCCAGAAATGAATTGTTTCAAGACATGTTATCTTTGATGAGAATGTGTTTCCCTATGCATTGATAAAATCTAAAGTTCAAGGACAGAGAGTCCTTCCGAGTCCACTTCAATGTAGCACTGTGGTAGTACCAGTTCCTGTACAACACAGATTTTCAGCTCCTGTGAATACAATGCATCAAGAAGGTTCAGTTTCTACTTCACACATTAACAGTTCTTCAAAACAATCAGGCACTGGAACACAGGGATTTGAAACTTAAGCATTCACAGATACTCTTTCCTCTTCTTAACATACAGTTCCCTTACTTCCTATCCTCAATCCATCTCAGCTTTAGGTAATCCTTCCTCCAAGTGCACAAACTCAATCTCAGTCACACAATTATACTATTCAAACAAGACTTAAGACAAGTGCTATTATGAGACAAGATTACACATCATGTCTAGTTGCATTACCCGAGTTAACATCTATTCAGTTTAAAGCTGATGATATTGAAGATGTCAATGGTCATATAACATGTGGTTTTTCTTTTCTGGCTAACATACATGAGGAAGAGGAACCAAAGAACTTTAGAGCTGCATCAACTATGTCTCAATGGCAGAATGCTATGCAGGAAGAGTATGATGCTTTAAAGTCACAAGGTACATGGAAATTAGTCCCTCCTCCAAGTGATAGAGCTGTGATTGGCAGTAAATGGGTTTATAAAGTGAAAAGAAATCCTGATAGGACAGTGTCAAGGTACAAAGCCCGATTGGTAGCACAAAGATTTAGTCAAGAACAAGGGTTAGATTATTTTGAAACTTTTAGGCCTGTTGTTAGACATGCAACTGTGAGGCTCATTCTAGTATTGACAGCTCAATACAATTGGACTTTAAGACAATTAGATATTAAAAATGCATTTTTGCATGGGAAACTTGAAGAAGAAGTATATATGAACCAACCCCAAGGTTTTGTGGATCCACAGTACCCAAGTCATGTGTGCAGATTAATAAAATCACTATATGGGTTTAAACAAGCTCCAAGAGCTTGGAATTCGAAATTTACAAGTTTTCTGCCTACACTTGGTTTTAAAACCTCCATGTCTGATACAAGCTTATTTGTGAAGGTGGATAAGAGTGATGTTATTTTACTCCTCTTATATGTTGATGACATCATTGTAACTGGATCTAATAGTGAGAAAATTCAGTCTGTTATTAATCATCTTGCAGCTGTGTTTGATTTAAAAGATATGGGAAAGTTGACATAATTTTTGGGCCTCCAGATTCAATATCATGCAGATGGGTCTTTGTTTGTGAATCAATCCAAATACATAAAGGAGTTGTTGAAAAAGGCTGGAATGGAGCAGTGTAAACCAACCTCCACACCTTCCAAACCTCACTCACATTTACTTACAATTGAAGGCACACCATTGTCTGACCCTACTCACTATAGAAGCTTGGTTGGGGCCTTACAGTACCTGACTTTTACCAAGCCAGATATTGCACACTCAGTGAATGTAGTGTGTCAATATATGACCAATCTTTCTGAGTCCCATATGTATCTGGTGAAAAGGATTATGAGGTATCTTCAGGGTACATCCAACTGTGGGTTGACATACACTTAGTTTTCTGATTTTCAAATCATTGCTTATTCTGATTCGGATTGGGCAGCAGATATTAACACGAGGAGGTCCATTACCGGTTATGTTATTTATTTGGGTTCCAATCTGATATCGTGGCAGTCAAAGAAACAGGCTACTGTCTCTCGAAGTTCTATAGAAGCCGAGTACAAAGCCTTGGCCCATTGTGCTGCATATGTCTTCTGGATCAGGTCTCTGCTTAAGGATGTTCATCAAGTTCTTACACAACCTCCTACCTTTCATTGTGATAACCTTTCAGCTCTGGCATTGCATTCCAATCCAATGTTCCACTTGAAGATTCAACATTTGGACACAGATTATCATTTTGTAAGGGAAAAAGTTCAAAAAGGGGATCTTCGTGTTCAATACATATCAACACATGAACAGGTAGCAAATATATTCACAAAAGGTTTACATAGTCCAGTGTTCATTCAACATTGTCATAGTTTACATATTGGAGTACCTGATGTTGGTCAACAGTCTTTCCAAGCTCGAGAAGCGTCAAGTGCAGCAGATACGGACCATGACAGTCCTACTAGTTCTTCATTGCATATGCAAACAAAACTTAGGAATTCCCAGTTTTGTTTGAGGGTAAACTGAATTAGTTGGAATCAGGTGGGACTTATCTTCAAAACAGTTAGAGGTAGTTGGAGTTAAATGTAAAGGGTAAAATGTAAAACTGTGCAACATAGTCTCTATATAAGTATAGTCTTAGAGACTTAGAGAATCATGATGTAATATTTCCTTTTACTCATAATATATAATTGAAAGCTCTCTCTCTTCTTTTTCGATTCCTTTAGTTTCTTCTTCTTTAAGATTTCTATAATTCAATAGCGTTAATAGCCCAAATCATTTTCATTAATGCTCTCTTTGAATTATGAATCTATTTTTCCAATTAAGAAAGAATGAATTAATGTCAACAAGGTCGTTTGAAATATATTTACTAGGTTGCTTCTGTATTGGGCATGAAATATAGAGTAATGCTACAATTACCATCTAATTGTACAATCATTTGTACTATTTTTCTAATAGAGGTGGATCCGCCAATGTATATGAGTCAAATCTCTATTATAGAAAAACGATAGTACAAATAATTGGTAATGATAGCATTTTTGTGAAATATATTACCCGTGCAAGTACGTTTCCCTGACTGCACCAAAACCGACAATATTCATTCCCGCGCAATCGCGCATGCATGCAATCTTTCTTGGTGAACGTTTTGGTCTTTTTATTCTTCTGAAAACATTAAAAACGTAATGCCCGTCTTCTGTGGACACGTACATAAATATATTAGGCTCATTTTTTCAGTATCTCATGAAATTCGAACTTAATTTCACTTAATCCTTCGAAACTTGATTTTAGTTCCACTAGCACCCAGATGTACTTCCGAGTGTATGCGAGTGTCCTAGCACTATGGTCGAATGGTATACACTACATGCCAAATTCACAATATCATTGCATCAAATTGAAGGTTACTCATGAAAAAAAAAAAAAAAAAAAAAAAGTGAATAGTACCGTGGGTTTAAAGTGAATAGTACCAGGTTTGACTCTTTAGTGTAAAAATGTGGTTTTTTGTTAAAGTGAACAGCACCGCAAATTTTTCAGTTAAAACTTCCTTGAATCAATACTATTTTTCATGAGTAACCTTCAACTTAAACAAAATATGAAAGTTTTCATCCATCTCTTTCTTCAATCATTTCTATCAAATGAGGCCTCAAAGTTACATTTCTTGTGAGCACTATTTAGATTAGTAATGCACTACCCCTGCAAGAAGGTTAATCCCTAAAAAATAGTATTGATTAAAAGGGACAACTATTTTTTCAGGAGTAATCTTCAATTTGGACAAAATAGGAAAGTTATTGTTGTGGCCTATATTTTACCAGTCATACAAGAAACAAATTCGCCCACTAAATGCTTCTTGGAAAAGCATGTGAAGTGCTTTCTAAAAATACACAACAAGTGGTCCTCTAGAAAATGTTTCAAGTGTTTTTTTTATTTTATTTTTTAACCTAGGGACACTTCTTAACTTGTTTTGTCAAGCTTGTTAAAAAACACTTCTTGCAATCTGAAAACGTTTTTAGTTGTTTGGAAGTGTTTTTGGAAGAAGGAAACGAAAATGTGAAATGATTCAACCATGCACCACTAGACTAGAACGAGCAAAACAGTCGAGTGAAATGATTCAACCATCACCACCTTTAACTTTCCCAAGGGCCAAGACGACACCTCAGAACCTCAGGGATGGTCAATGCGTCGGAATAGGATTCTTTTCTCTTCTATTCCATCATTTTTCTTCCCTCCTCTCTTACTTTGTCTTTTGTTTTATAGTCTTTAAAAAAAATTCAATATAAAACGTTAATGTGGCTTAATCTTAACCGTTCAAGTAGGAAGAAAGGGAAGTGGAGAGATATTTGAAAGGGAGAGAATCCTCCTCCCAATGCGTCACTCCGTTACCTCAAGCTCCCAAAAACATCAAGATTGATCTACTAGTCATTACAAGAAACGGATTTGACCACTGAGCCGCCACGTTGATGTTGAACTTATTAATCAAATGCTTCTTAAAAAGCATTTGAAGTGCTTTCTAAAAGCTCACAAGTGCTTTCTAAAAGCACACAAGTGCTTCGTTAGAAGATACTTCAAGTGCTTTTTTGAACCTAAGAACGCTTCTTAACTTGTTCAGTCAAACATGTTAAAAAACACTTCTAGCAATCCAAAAACGCTTTTACTTATTTTAAAAACATTTCTAAACCACCAATAGACGCAAGCGTTTTCTGGAGAAAGGCTTGCGTAAAATATTTAGTCCTCACGCTTCGCACAAAGCATTCAATGATACGATATTGAAGGAAAGCAAAAGGCTTCTATGCAGCACTGGACTACAATGAGCAAAATAGTCGAGTGATAGATTTTATACCAATGTGTCAAAAAAGCAAGAGTTCCTACTGCCTAGAAGAGATGGGCGAGCTAAAGAACTTCCATTGAGAATCTGACGTTGCGCATTCATGCCCTGCAAAAACTTTCAACCGCAGCTGCAACGACGTCCCTAAATACCCACAAGGTTTTGTCAGACTCATACAGTAACAAAGAGATCCTCCAGTATAAGATTAATTCAAAGGATAAATAGAAAAACATAAATAAACCTAATACTAGTAGATAGATGCTCACAGATCCAGGATTCGAACTAGACATTTAAACTACCGGTTCTGAAGAGAGCAGGAGCAACCTCAGATTCCTCAATCAAACAAATCCGACACTGCTGTCTTCTTAAATGGATTAACTTGTGTCAACTGTGCCAGTGCAGATTTGTTGGGAAAGACATTATCTGCTTTCATCCTCTCCCAGATTCCATAAGCTGGAGCCTTGGCATTTACATAGGCCTGAACAAGAGATTGAAACTGACGAAGGTGAGGCGTATAACCAGCCTGTCTCATCCTATGAAATATCTTTTCTGAGTTATGGATGTCCCCCTTCTTTGAATATTGTTCCAAAATTGTCATATAAGAAGTGAACAGTGGCTTCTTTTGGTTGTTTTGGGTAGCCTTCTGCAAAATAGAATCAGCCTTTCCAACCATTCCTGCTTCCACATAGAGTTTCACAAGTGCATCCCAAGTTAATGGCCCAATCTCGCAATTGTTATCTGCCATATGCTTGACAAGATCTTTACCCTTGTCTAGCATTTTATTGTTCGCATACACCTTCAACATCACAGAATAATGCTTGGAAGAAAGTTGCTTCCCTGATTTTAACATCTTATCAAAAACTACCTCTGCTTCTTCAATCTTTTTCAACTTTCCCCAAGCTTCGATTGCAGCCAAACACTCTACAAACAGAGGATTTGATTCACAAACCTTCCAAACTCTCCCTACTTCGTTGGCATTTCCCAACTCAGCATAAAGGGGAAGCAAAGATCGACAAACCCAACGATTCTGTTTTAAGCTTCCAGATTCCATGTCCTTCAAAACCACCTCGGCTTTTTCTTTAAGCCCGCCAGTGGCATAGTGCCTAGCCAAGGTGGCTTTTGTGCTGATGTCTGGCTCAATGCCTTCCACCTTCATTGTCTCATAAACTTGCTCCATTCCAGTTATGTCATTTGACTGGCCTTTTGTATCTATTAGGACTTTATATGTGAAGGCAGTTGGCTTGACATCTTCTTTCTCCATTAACAGTAATACAGCTGGTATTTTCTTCTTGTCAAGCCTCTTGTAGAGGAGTAGCAACTGGTTGCAAGTAAATGCTGTGACCGGGAATTCTAGGTCATTCATTTTGTTGAAAACTTCTTCGGCTTTCTTCATATTGCTGGTAGAGACACAGTACGTCAACAGGGTTCGGTACATTACCTCACCTCTAAAGGATTTTGGAATCTTCTCGAGATAGTTTTCTGCCTTTTGGAGGCCACGTACTTTGGCGATTAAGCCGAGACGAGTTGCATAATCTCTTTCATTAAATTCAATCTTCTTATGCTCCTCCAACCACTCTGAAAGCTGCAAAGTGCCTCACACAATAGTAAGATTCCGTGAGCACGAAATTCATGCTTTTAAGGAACCGGGAAACAAACACAAGAAAAGAAGATGCACTTGTGGTGCAAGAAGATACTACCATCCTCATTGTACATCTAATCTATTGAGGGAAATGATGAAATGAAAAGAAAGTAAATTTATCACAAATTTGTTCTGCTTTAAATCAAACTATAAGACGCACAAATGGAAGCATTGCCAAATCAGCGTGCTACGGTCACTTTCAACATAAAGCTACAGAATTTCATTAAAGCATGTGAGAACTCATGACTTCAAAGTCAACTTTTCTCTTACCTTTGATCATAAAAATGGGACTCAAAGAAATAAGTTAATGAGATGACCATTAATTTATCATAAAAAAGAAAACCAAAAGATCCAGCCATAAGCCAGTGCAATTGACTCATTGCAAAATATGTATCGGTCCTCCTTCAAGTACCATTAAACCAAAAAAACAAAAAAACAAAAAAAAAAAAAACAAAGAAGCGAAGTGTGTCATGATTACAACGTAAATATATCAAAACAAGAAGCTATTCTATGTAAGAAAGACCGGAAAAGTGTATCAAATGCTAGAATACTTCTGAGATAATGTAGGCAGGCTGCTATGTTGAAATATCTCTGTTTTTCTTTTCTTAATCAGCTATGTTGGCTTATTTATATAAATAAAACAATTCAAAACGTGATAAATAAATTAAGTTTGAAATTATAAGGCAGCTAAGATCAAATTAAAACTTTTGAGATTATCATCTGGTTTACGAATTTTTTAAGTGTCAATAGAAAATCGAGTCAAAGTACCTGTAATGCCCTCCCAAACATTTGACGCCTGCGAAAATTGAGCAGGGCCATTGATATCTGTGTCCGGTTTATTTCATTTCCTTCTTCTACCCACTTATCAAGAGCACCATGAACAGAGAATCCTGGGAAAGCTAAGATGGCCTTGTAAAGTGCTAAAGGGTTTCTTTTCTTTCGCAATATTTTCTCACTTGGATCGTCTCAGTCTCTGACAACTCCAGCTCATGTTGGGAAGCCTCAACTTCTTCATCAACTTCAGAGAGTTCTGGTTCAGAAATTAATTCATCTACATTTTCATCATTTCCATTGATCTCTGGAATTGCTTCAACACTAGATGGTGTTTCAAGTTCAGAGAACCCATCTTCCAAGTCATCTTCCTCGCCATTGCTTTTTGCACCAGCTTGTGAAGAAAGGCTGCGTTTATCCATGGAGAAGTTCCAAGAAACACATGTTGTGTGGTATAGTCTCTTGGAAGGCAGACATTCATCAGACAATGATTTACAGGACTCAAAGAAACAAACATCCTCATGTCTGTCAGTAATTGGTAGCTCCAAATTAGCACAACATACACGAGAAGTTCCTATGTTGAATGCTCGGTTCCTGGACGCAAGAGAAAACCTAAGTTTCACATGCATTCCCAAAGAAAAGAACCAACAACATAACATAACGAACGATCCAGAATTTACTAGAAAACATCCTGCATAAAAAGAAATAATAGCAGGAAATATATAACTAAAAGAGATAAAAATTCAGAAGATGTCATCGTCAAGCTTCTACTAGTACAAGCATATTATGAAATCCTCCGAGACAAAAGAAACATAAAATTGCATCCCTAAGAAACTGTTCGGAAACAAGGGCAGCTGCGCTAGTAGGTTATTCTCTATATAAAGAGAGAAGTGAGATTCAACGGCAGAAACAATGTTGCTGTAAAATATCCAGTGATGTGACAGAAGATTTTTTAACAGTCTAGGATCAAAAGAAGATAAATTTCCTGTCCTAATAGTCTCCACTCCATGAACTCAATTTGTTCCTCCTCTGTTTTTGTTTGTGGTTTCTTAAACGTCGCACGAAGCATTTCAATTCCGTTCTAATCCTCTTCAAAACATTCTCTCTTCCTTTCAACAAAGATGAAATTAATGATTTCTAACTTCAAGGTAAGAAAAATCCTTGAACTGCTTAACTCATTGCGTACAGATGACAAATCAAGACTGGTAAACAAAATAAAAGATGAAAAAAAAAAAAAAAAAAAAAAAACAAAGCAGCCATTTGCACATCAGGTGATTAAGATGAAACCTAAAACCTGTAATCGTTCAGAATATTCTCTCCCACCTTCTGATTAACAAACAGGTGATTAAGATGGGGCCACTGAAACCAAGAGAGAAGGAGAGAGAGTATATACCTGAGAGGAAGAGAAGCACGGCGGAGAGCCCACATGGCGAGAGTCGGCAAATCAGAAGCACCAAACAGTAACAGTCCCAGGGAAAATGGAAATGGTGGTGCTCGTTGAGTAGCTCACACTCTTAAACCCTAAAACCCTCCCTTTGCCGTCAGGAATTACTGATTTGGGGACATAAGGGTTTTTCTTTTTCTATTATTGCCTTTTTTTTTTTTTTTTTGTTTTGGCTAAATTAAAAGCCTAACATGCAATAATTTTTTTTTTACAGCCATGTCCGTGACAGAAACTTCATTCTGTCAGTCCAATTCCGTTAAATAAACTTTCTTTTATTTACAAACATGCCACTACCTTGTCAAATCCTAAACATCATTATGTCAGAAATAAATAATAATTGTCATAGTGAACAACCAAAATCTACAAACGCACATGGAGAGAGGGGGAGAGAGAGAGAGAGACAGTAACAGTTTCATAGAGCGAAGGAGAAGGATGGAAAGGAATGAATCACAAATCAGAAATAAAAATAAAAATAAATAAATAAATCAGAAGAAATTCATCATCATTAGAGAATGAAATCGAATTGGAAGATCGCATTCCCAAGCAAGGAAGCTTCAAAAAAGTCATGAAATATTGCCGTATTGCCATAAGAAACGCCGTGATTCAGAGACCATTACCTCTTCAGCAAGAAATTGGCCAAGGCAAATTCAGCACCACCTACTTCTACACCCACAAGCTTACCGACACCCAATTCGTTCGCATGTCCATCCCTAAGTGCAAGCTCCTCTGCCAGGGGGACTACGACGACATCTAGAGGGAGATTCAAATCATGCACCACCTCTCCGAGCACCCAACCATCATCCAGATTAAGGGCACCTATGAGAACTCAGTGTCCGTGCACCTCGTCATGGAGATCAAGTCCATCTCCTATAAGCCAAGTTAAGCTTCATTTCCTTCATTTACATATCAGATCCACTTTTACTTGTTCTTTCTTTTTATTAGAATTGGAAATTGAAATGTTGGTCTGCCATTGATTTTGAAAATTTTAATGATAATTTATTCAACTATTTAATTTGCTGAATTGAATTTCTTGTGCCTTGTTGTGTACTCAATCATTAGGATTGCTTGATTTATACATACATACATACATACTGTTATTGGTTAAACAAACATAAACTCAGCAGCTCCACCTACGAGGAAGGCAAAAGAGCTATTTACCGGATATTGTATTTTTCTGAATGCCATGTTTGGAAGTTGCCAAATTTATTTAGATATTTCTTCTATATTGCGCCTAGTGTCTTTTAGAACCATGAGAAATAATGTGTGTTTCTTCAGTTTCATAAATAGTGTATAGTTTTGTAATAGTTCCATCAATAGTATGCATTATCTTTGGTTCAAATCCAGAATTAGTGTGAGTTATTTTGTTCTAGTTACAGAAATAGTGTTTATTTTGTTATTTTTCATAAATAGTGTGAGTTATTTTGGATTACTTTCAGAAATAGTATGTGTTATTATGTTTTAGTTCTAGAAATAGTGTGAGTTATTTTGGTTCACTTTCAGAAATAGTGTAGGTTATAATGCCATAGTTTCAGAAATAGTGTGGGTTATTATGATTTACTTTCAAAAATAATGTGGGTTATTTTGTTGTAGTCAAGAAATAGTGGTTCACTTGCACAAATAGTGTGGGTTATTTGGTTGTAGTCAAGAAATAGTGGTTCACTTGCAAAAATAGTGTGAGTTATTTTGTTATAGTTTAAGAAATAGTGTTTATTTTGCTCCTTATATAAACTGACACACCCCGATCGAAATCAGGGCATGCTGGCCATCATGCGAGAGTGACGTAACCATGTGCACAGTGCGGAAGCTAAGAATAGTAATAAAGTACAAATAAATAAAAACCATGCTATACACTGAGTACATAACATACATGTGCAAGCGTAAGTGTGAAAAACAATATTCAGAGCATGGAAGACCTAGTGCAGTCCGGGAGAAACAAATACTAAATAAACACAACCAAAGGTGGTCCTACACTGGTGATAAACTGTCAGATATGTCGTGAATTCCTCGAGAGCCACCAAAAGAGCTATCCAAACTAGAACCTGGAAGGGCGCAAAATAGAAAACGTGAGTGGGCAAAAACAAAGCTTTTCAAAATCATTTCATTATCAAAATTCTAACCCCTAGCCGTAAAACCCGTATAGTTTCCCAGAAATAGAATATGCACATATATATAAAACATGCTCAGAAATATGCCATGTCGAATGCCTCTATATAAAATGTAAGTACTCAGGTAATATCAATCAATGCCATGTAATCTGTCAGCCGGAGTCACCTAACGTGACCTGTACGGCTGAATCTAGAGCTTAAATCCCCAACTCACTAACTATACATGCACACGAGTCGGAACCACCTAAAGTGGTCTGTACGACAGGACTGGGTGTAAATAAGTACGCTCAAGTGCTACGATCACGTGAAGACTGGGCGAATAATCGCGGGTCACTTACGAGTTGGAACCACCTAAAGTGGTCTGTACGACAGGACTGTGTACCTAACTTGGATCCAAGATAAGCATGTGGTGCGGGAGGTGAACATCACATGAAGGACTGTGCCCTACTCTGGGCGGGAGCACTAACACTGGGGGTGCAGGTTATGAGCTTTCTATGCATCTCACATCACTACTAATCACAAACATAAACCATAACTTACCTGGCACTTACCTGTGCGTCTGCAGCACCAAATATATATATATATATATATATATATGCAACTACTAATGCATAATTAAATAGGCAAACGCAATGCATGGCATTTAAAATATATAAACGTTTCATTTCATTTTTTGGGAAAATCACAAGTATATAGGTATATACGGAAAACCAAAAAGCCCACTCACTGGTATGTAGAAGGGTCGTAACCCCCTTGCCTCGAGTGATCGTGCTCGTCCTCGGGATAGGTCTCACCTATATGCGAAACAACTATAAAAACGTTAATTTAAAGCACATAACCCAAACTAGGTAAAAACTTCTCATACAATGCTCAAATGGGGTGTGTGAATACACCAACATGATCTACTCAACCTCACAAACATCCCCATATTTTGTAAATAATTTTCTGACGTCACACGCGCCCCCACACTCCTGCCAAGGCACGGTCACACACGCAGGCAAGTGCCTGGCACAGTTACGGCGTCAATTAACGCCGTCAGGAATATTCCGTTATATCTGACAGATTCCGTTAAAGTTAACCTAACACCGTTAGGAATATTCAGTCCAAATTGACGGAATATTTCGTCGTCTTCTCCGCCCAACCTCCGGCGCTGTCGCCGTCACCGGAAAACTGAGAAAATTTCTAAACTTCATATCTCACTCATTTTTCACCCAAATTTCACAAAATTGGTAGCAAAATAAAGCTTACAACTAGAGGAACAAAACCTTACCACTTTCAAGCACTAAACCTAACGAAATCTCGCTGGAAAAACTCTACCAAATCCGGCCAAACCTGCAACTCATGATCCTGACGTCCAAAACCTTCAAACGAACCACCTCGAGTTTCCTAAAGACCTCACCAAGCTTCCTACAACCCTAAAATTCCCAAAAACACATGATTTTACGTGTGCATGAACAGTACCCCAAATTGAACATCTCGGGTTCAACGTGAAAACGAAGGTGTCCTTACCTGAAATGGGTATGGTTGAACTCGTATGAAGCTCACGAACACAAAGGTATGATTTTCTTCCTCGATCCGCAACGTTTTCAAGCACTATGGTTCTTGTCCGTACGTATGGTGAAGAAAAGAGAGAAAGAGAGAGGCTTCGGGATAGAGAGAGTCAACGGGAGAGGGTGATGGAAATGAAGATGGATGTGTGGTTGAGATGCAACCAACCAAGAACCCAAAACAACCACACAAACAACAATTATCCACTAGGGCAAAACCGTCATTTCATCCCTACGGTACAAATAATCCGGGACGGGCTTGTCACTTACATAAACAGTATGTGTTACTTTGGTTCAGTTTCATAAATAGTGTGAGTTTTTTGTTGTAGTTCCAGAAATAGTATGAGCTATTTTAGTTCAATTTCATAAATAGTGATAGTTTTTTGTTGTAATTCCAAAAATAATATGAGCTATTCTGGTTTGGTTTCATAAATAGTGAGTTCTTTTGTTATAGTTCCAAGAATAGTAAGAGTTATTTTAAATAATGTTGATTATTTTACTGCAATTCTAGAAATAATGTTTATTTTATTAACTTCCAGACATAGTGTGGGTTATTTTGGTTCATTTCATTAATAGTGTTGTTTTAGCCTTTTATGAAAAGGACTTGGACTAAGTCTATTTTAATCAAAAACCACGCTATAACTTTATTTAATGAAAAAAAATTAAATATTAATGAAAAACCTTTAAATTTTCATAAAAAAAAACCCTTAAATTTTAATAAAAAAAGACAAAAGAACTTAAATTTTAATAAAAATGACACAATTTTAATATAAACAAATTAAAAAAAAAAAAAAGATCTGACGTGCGGGACCCGTGCGTCCATACACTGTTTATGAAACTATACACTCTTTATGAAACTAGACCAAGAACTATACACTATTTATGAAACATGTTCAAGAAGTAGGCACTATTTATGAAAGTGGACCAATAACTAGGCACTATTATGAAACCGGACCAAGAAAAAGACACTATTTATGAAACTGTACCAATACTATACACTATTTATGAAATTGGACCCAATAACTAGGCACTATTTATAAAACAAGACCAAGAATTAGACATTATTTATGAAACTTATTACACTGTTTATGAAACTTATGACACTGTTTATGAAATTTACCACACTGTTTATGAAAAATTACAACACTATTTATGAAACTTACTACACTGTTTATGAAACATAAATGTACTACATTGTTTATGAAATTTAACGGTGCTACACCATTTGATGACTCTTCAGTTTGGTTGAAGAAAAACATTATAGATCCAGAGAGTCATCAATTTGGTTGAAGGCTATACCTTAGCAGACGAAGTTGCAATTTTGTTTGCAGCTTTACATATATAAACATACATGTTTCTCATCCTTTTGAAAAGGCATGTTACATCATACGTGGTGCATCATACAAAAAGAATGTGAAAACCCTATCTAAACAAGCAACCTTCGACATGACCGTGAGAATTATTTGTTTCGATCTCTATCCTTTTACAAGCATCTTAAAACGGT